TTTAAAGGGATTAGTATGTTTTAACCATTGTGATTGCAGTGGGGCTACATGTTTATACCTTCTAATACACAAAAACCAAGTATCTCATACCTTTTTTTCCTTCATTTCCTTCATACAAAATCAGTTTCAGAAATCCATAAAAGCTTTAGAAGTGATAATGGTACTAAGTTTGTTGGCCAAGAATGTCTTGTTTTTCAATCTTTTTGCATTGTACATAAAAAAACTTGTGTTTATACCCCTCAGCAAAATGGGATAGTAGAAAGAAAACACAGGCATCTTCTTGAAACAACCAGGTCACTCATGTTTCACTCCAAAATTCCCATTTTGTGCATAATAAACAGACTACCACACTCTACTTTAAAATGGAGAATTCCTTATGAAGTCCTATATGGGAAATTACCATAATATTCCTTGTTGAAGCCTTTTGGTTGCTTGGTGTTTGCAGCAAATACAGAGACACACAAATCAAAATTCAGGACTAGATCCCACAAAATGTTTTCTTCGGATAAAAATTAGTCAGTAGAGATATCAAATTTTCAGAGGACATTTTTCCTTATCCTGATAAAACCATTCCCTCACAAGTTTCTATTCCCATACCTCAGATTTCCATACCTCAGATTTCCATTGCTGATGGTTTTGATTCAGATATGTCCATTCCGATAGAAAGTCAAAAGGAAACTTCTTTTACTTTACAACCCTCAACCTCTCATTCAAAACAAAATCCAAACCCCTTTGGTTAAAAGACTATGCGACTTTTTGCTCTAATACTCATCTTCCCATTGCTGCCATGGAACAATCTACAAAGGTGACCACTTGAGGTATCACTGATACTGATACACAACCATACCATAACACTTATCCTTTGCAAGATGACTATATTTAATTTTTGCACAATGTATCCATTGATCAAGAGCTTGCTTCTTATTCTCATGCAAAGAAAAGTGCTGAATAGGTAAAGGCTATGCAACAAGAGTTGGATGCTCTTGACAAAAATGAAACTTGGTATTTAGTTGAATTACGAGCAAGAAAGAAGCCCATAGGTAACAAATGGGTTTATAGGATAAAAAGGAAGCCTGATGGGTCAGTGGTCTAGTGGCAAAGGGTTACACATAGATTTATGGTGTTGATTATGTGGACTGTTTATCTCATGTGGCTAAACAAGTTGCTGTCACGTTGTTTTTTGCTGTAAGATCATCTAAAGGATGGCCTCTATGCCAAATTGACATTAACAATGCTTTCTTACATGGTAGTTTGAAAGAAGAAATCGATATAGAGTGTCCACAGGGCTATGATAATGATAAACAGGGTTATGATAATGATAAACAGAAAGATGGGCAGGTATGCAAGTTGAAAAAGGGCCTGCATGGGCTCAAGAAAGCTTCTAGAGAGTGGAATAAAGAATTTTCTGATAATTGTTAACTTATGGTTTTATCCAATCACAAAATGATCAATGTTTCACAAAGTCTACTAGGGAGAATTTTATGGCTCTCTTTGTAGATGATGTCCTCGTTATGGGGTAAATTTGCAGCTCATTCAAGATTTGAAGTCCTACTTGAACAGAGAACTCACCATTAAAGACCTAGGATTTGCTAAGTTCTTCTTGGGTATAGAAATTGCTAGAGAAGATAATGGGACTTATCTTAGTCAAGAAAATGTGTTGGATATGCTTCAAGATATGAAGCTAAAGCATAGCAGAATAGCAACAACACCTTTTCCACATGGTTTGGTGTTAAAGGGTAAGGAAGGTTTGCCTCTGCTTCAGCTGTTACAGGAGATTGGTGGGGAGGCTGTTGTAACTCAATCTCACTAGAACAGATACAACATTTTCAGTTGCCTTGCATGTCCTCAAATATATACAACAATTAAGCCAATTTGTAAATGATCCCTACACTTCTCATTGGGATGTTGCCTTGCATGTCCTCATATATATTTAAAGGGCACACCATCTTTGGGTTTGTTTTATCCCAATTCAAGCAGTTTCAAATTCACAACATACTGTGATGCTGACTGAGGAGCTTGTTCAGAGACTAGAAGATCACTAAAAGGGTTTTGTATCTTTTTGGGGGATTCACTTGTGTCCTGGAAAAGCAAGAAGCAATCTACCGTTTCCAAGTCCTGAATATAGAGCTCTCAGCTCTACAACTTGTGAAGTCCAGTGGTTGGAGTATATTTCTCAAGATCTTCAGTTACCAGTTCATCGTCCAAGCCTTTACTCTGTGACAATCAATCAGCATTGCATATAGTGGAAAACCCCCTTTTCCATGAACGGACTAAACATCAAGAAATTGATTGCCATTTGGAGAGGCATAAATTCAAGAAAGGATTGCTTGCTCCGAGCTATATTCCATCTTCTAAGCAACTTGCAAATGGTTTGACTAAGTCCCTTGGTGATCAACCTTTCCGATCAATGGTGGTCAAGTAGGGAATAACAGATTTTCACTGTCATCCCACTTTCACTTGAGGGGGGGTGGGTTGAGTTGGTTGACATATATAGTGTTAGTAGTATGAGTTAGTTGCAGTAGAGTTGTTGGTCTTAGTTGTTTCCCTTTTTCCTCTTAAGTCGTGTTTTTAGTTTGATAGTATAAATAGTCTTGTTCTGTATCTTTTACAGTTGAATAACGAAAAAAGACACAGAAGGAGAATTCTCTCCCCAAAATATCAAAAGACACAGAAGGAGAATTCTCTCCCCAAAATATCTTCTTTTCATTTCTTCACAGTTTCTTCAAGGCTGACTCTGCATACGATTGTTCAAGGCAAGCAAACGATCCGAGTACATCGGGGACAGGGAGGCCGCGGGGGACCTCGTGGTGGGGGCGGCGGTCGGAGATATCGCGGGGCACCCCGTTCCCGATCTCCACCATCGTGTATCGACGAAGGCGATTTTGAGAACACAATATCCAAGGAGAACCCGCTCGACTATCCGACGACCCAAGTGGAGGATGATGGTGCCAGCGATTAGCGTTGGAAGGCGTCTTTCTGGTTAATATTCCAGATTCTCCGGGGCTTGGATCCGGCAGATTTTTGGGATTGGCTCGCCTTCTTCGAAATTGTCCTCGAGTACAAGAAGGTGGCACAACCCTCATTGTGTTGCGCGGTAGGGCAGCCGCCTCCATCTCCCATAGCTCCCGTACGCTGCTCGCTGACGGCAGCATCCATGTATACAAACGACGGCGTCCAAGAGTCGACGGCCCGCCTGTATTTGATGAGGAGTCTCAGTGAGGGAGGAACACCTTAGCGGTGACAGTGGGCCTGGCCCTCATCATTCATCGTTCATGTATGGCACCCCGTCTCTAAGGTCGATTCAGCAAGCATTTATAGAGGGGATTGAGGGACAAATGCTCTTGGCGACACTAAAGGAGCCTGAAAATTGTTACACCGAGATATGCTTCAGCCACTAGAGTTTCGGGCTCAAAGCAACTTGCGATGTCGGGCCCATCCTGGCATCGATTACGAATCAACTCACGAAAGTGGACTAAATTAATTTTGTCGCGGGTCGGCCTAAACTGAACGCTCTAGATGTCATGAAAATCTTCTCAGAAGCTCAGGAATGTTCCAACCTGAGGCATCAGAATATTTCCGACAATGCCCTGGGCGAGAAGCAAGCCCGAGCATTCGAGAAGCTCTTGAAATTCCAAACTCACTTGGTGGAGGACAATGACTTCCATAACGGCTGCACAAGCCGTGTGTGAGTTAGTTTCCTTCACATAATCAATTCTTATTAAGTTGAGTTTATTAGGTTAAGCACGGCTTTAGAGAAGGGCATGATCCGTTGAGGGAACTTGATTTGAGTCAGAACTCTATATGGGTTGCGACTCTTCATTGGGAATCTTTTGTGAAAGATCGAGAAAAACAACAATGGACGGACTAATCGATTGACTAGTGGGTTGTGACATATAGTAGAATTCTGCGGCGGGCGAGCGTAGAGCCCATTGGACGCCGAGAATCTTCTTGGTCTCGACGTATCCCCAACAACGACAATCGCGCAAAGGTGACGTCGCACATTCGCACTTCGAACGTGTTCATCGTCAAACATTTGGTGCGGTTATGTGGAGACAACTCGGACGAAGACGAGATTAGTCAAATTCGAGGGCGAATCCTTCTCAAGTGGAAGTGGGGGAAAACGATGAAGACAAGATTGCATTGGCCTGTCTGGACAAGCATATCGTTTATCGTCAATAGTTTAATTATTTGTTTTCTTATTTTTATAATTCTTATTATTATTTGCATTATTTGGTAGGTAATCTTTATTTATTTTTCCTAATCTCTTTCTTGATAGGCAAGTTAAGTAAATTAAGACCTTGTATCAGTTTTAGTTAAGAGACTCCTTTTATTATTTTGAGGGTCGATCAATCAATCAATCAATCAACAAGCCGTTAAAAATCCACTAAGTGGGTCGGCTATATGGATCACAAATCGCCATCATGCTCGATCAAAAGATATATCCTCATTCAAATTAAATATTTTAAATCATTTTATAATGTCTTCCAAGTTTTTTTAGGTCTACCCCACCTACTTTTAATTTGCATTCTTAATTTTAATGTTTTTACCCCTCTCCCTTTTTAATGTCAATTGATATTGAATAAAAATCAAAAGAGTTTGGAATGTTTCCTCTTTGTCTTCCTCATATGCTGCGCTACATCATATAGTGTAGCCAACACTTCCCTTTATTTAATTTTTCTTCTTTCCCTTGCTTTTTTTCCATGATGTAAATGCAATCACGGCTGATTCAAGATAGTTTGAATCAATAGCCATCCTCGATAAGTTACAAACAAGACACCCATATTCTATTGTAGTATCATCCTCCCGTCCATTAGAGCACGATAATGCGCCAAACAAACAATCAGACTGATAAATAGAGTACATATTTTTCCCAAGCATATATGTAAGAGAAAATTCAAAAGTAGAATACATATTAACAAGTATTAAACATAATGGCAATGCACTGGTAAGAAGTATCAAGAGCCACCAATGACAGAAACATGTAATAATGCGCATAGAACCTGTGAAGCCTCAGCATTTACGAAAAAACCAACAACCGGAGAAAATTCACTGCCTTCCCTGCAGAATCACGCACAGACACACACACACACTACAAATTAACTCTTCCATCAAAAGAAAACATACACACACGCACACACACACACACACACATTGTATCAAACTGAAATCAACATTGTCCACGTATATTTTGAATCATGATTATGCTAGCATCATTCCACTTAGGATGTGTTTGTATATGAAGAACTTCAATTCATACTCAATTTATATTCAAAATCTAACTCAATTTTAGCTCTACTCCACTATTTTCAATATTATCAATATAGTTAAATAATATCAACGAATCATTCTTACACATCACGGCAACTTGCTACTCACATAATTTTAACTAACTATCACTTCACATTATTTCGTTCATACTTTTATATCAAATCAACTTTAATCATTTTATTTTAAATATTATTTTGATATAAAATCAAAATCTCACTCACAACCATAAGGCTTTTTTTTTTTTTAATCAACTCTAGTTAACCAAGAAAACTCATTTTGAGTAGATATATAACACGCCCTTAGTTCCAGCTGGTAAATCTTCTTAAAAAAACATTGATATTGAGAATGACGTGAAACTGGAGAACGCGCAACTGTTAAACAAGGGCAATTAAAAAGAGAACGGATCAGAAACGTTTTACCTGAGAATGAATCAGAAACGGTTACCTGTTAGAGGAGCTGTAGTAGATAAAGTGGATGCCAGGCGGAATCATCTTGATACCTTTAAAATTCGGACCGGATGAGTACATCTGCAAACGGTAATCCAGATTCAAAGCTATCACCAACTGTAAAACAAATCATTCGGCGTGATTCTCAAGTATACCTGTGTGTCGATGCCGATGAGAGTGTGTTGAGGAACATCAAGCAGAAGAAGAGTGGCGCCGTGCTTCACAAGCTCCAAGGCCGTTTCCGCGTCCATTTCCTCCCTTCCTAATGACGATTTTTTTGCTCTCTTTATGGATTGGATGGTCAATGTAATAATCTAGGGTTACTTTGGATTTGACTACTGAGGATTTGCCCGAGTCTGCTATGCTACAGAAAATTTAGGCGCCTTCGCTCTTTGGAATCTCCCGCGAAATCGAGAAAACTCTAGAGTCGGGATTTTTACTTCTTTCTCTCTGTATAGGTAATACCAAGTTCTAACGTTTATGTTTGGTAGTCTTTGGACTTTTGTAGCTACCGTCTAAGGTCTCGTTTCTTTTGAGGGACAAGATTAAACAAAATAATTTGGACAATTTTACACGATAATTTTTAGGGGGTGTATTCAATTAACACTTTTAGTGATTTTTAAGACTTTCAAAGTTTTGGATATTCAATTGAAACTTTTGGAGACTCTCCAAAAGTTTACATGTATTCAATTAAAACTTTTCAAAAATCTCAATAAGTATTCAAGTTGGTAAGATTTTATGAGACTTTACAAAGGAAAAAGATTTGGGAGACTTTTTTACCAAAATATAAAGAAACTGATCCTTGTGAAAATCTCACCAAAATTGTGAGATTGTTGAACGTAAAGACTCTTCTTTCTCTTGTCTACAAGGTACTCTCATACTTTTTTCTCTAGGGTTTATAGAATTTGAGATGCTTTTATTATTGCATTTCTACAAAAGAAAGAATTCGCATAAGGTGTCAAAGAATTGGAAAAAGTAGGAAGTTTTCATTTCATGAATATTACTTCCAGGTTAATTATAGTTTGTGGAAGATGGATTGTTTCATGCTGTGTTTGTTGGTTGGGGTTGAGGGTAGTGCTGTTAAATTAAATGAGCTTGGCTCGGCTCGGCTCGAGCTCGGCTCGAGTTCGTAGCCTTAACGAGTCGAGCTCGAGCTCATTTAAAGCTCGTTTGGTTAACGAGCCGAGCTCGGCTCGACTCGATAAGGCCCGTTAAGGCTCGGAAAGTGAAATTTATGTAATTTTTTATAGTTCGCCTCGTTAAAGCTTGAGATCGACTCATTAAGGCTCGAGCTCGAGGCTTTAACGAGCCGAGCTCGACCTTGATTTTTGCCTCGTTTACTTAACGAGCTAAGCTCGGCTCGTTAAGAGCTCGAGCTCGAGTTCAAACACCTTAAGCTCGAGCTCGGCTCGGCTCGTTTACAGCCCTAGTTGAGGGTTCCTTTTTTTATGGTTCTGTTACAATTGGTTTCAGATTTGGACCCTTCAAAGATTTGTAAATGAAATGCTATTTGCGTGTGATGGGCAGATTTTAATGGAGAGGGCATTCTTGGGTTTCTTTGCTGGGTTATAAAAAAATGGTTTTAAATGATGCTTCTTGATTTTGCTATTTTTTCAGTTTTAAAATTTATTCTTACACTTAAATGGATTCGGGAGCGAGTTTGATTGCAGCTGGATATAATTGTTGTATCATGGTTTGAATTTTCTGCAGGGGACTTTTGTCGAAGGGTTATAATGTTTCTAATATCTTATTTTGTATTTGGACCTAATAAGAAGTTGCAATCTATGTGTGAGAACTTTATTATTCAGATATATTCATCTACAGAGTCTATCTGGAGCCTGCTAGTGTTGCTTTCTGTGAACTACTCATGAACAATTCCTACTTGCATGCTTTCCACTTGTGGTGTTTTTCTGGAGTATATTTATTAACAATATGCTATATATCTCACAAAAATGAATAAACAATAGTAAACAGAGTATGACGATTTTTCTATATTGTTTGTTTGTTTATCCAACAATTTTTCTTTTCAGTTGCAAATAATAAAAGTTGGAATTGTGTTTGTTTAAAATTTTTTGTTGGAGAATCATCTGGTTCAAGTGTTTGTAAATTTAGATGTTTTTTTTCCTCGTATCTTCATTATTGCTCTAGATAGGACTTATATCATAAAACATTTTAAATTAATATTATTTAATTACTATTTTGACTTGATAGATACTAGTTATTATGCACATAATATTTTTATGAACATTCCATAGAAATATATTATTATATTAACAACTATATAAAAGTCTTGAAAAGTCCCAAAAAGTTCATATTGAAATTCTTAAAAAGTCTCCATAACAATCCCACAAAATTCACCAAAATCATTAAAAGTTGCATAAAGTCCACAAAAGTCATCTACTTTAAAAAGTCTTAAAAAGTCATTAAAAGTCCTATGTAATAAATTTTGTGCATTGTTTACATTGTGGAAATAAATTTTGTGAAAAGAATCCCTCGTTTACTTCTATGAACTATGTAATAGAATAAAAAGTCAAAAGACTCTTATACTCTCCTTTACCCATATGAATCTCGTCCGACATACTTTCTATGAATAAGAAATTGTGTCCTAAAAAATCATGCTCTTGCCATGAATTCTGAAATTCAATCTGCCTCTCTTTCACATATTACAGTCGAGTGCACGATTACGGTCGTTTGAAATTGCGGGACGAGGACGACGTTCTGAAATTGTACCTGTGTGCTTACTTGTGTTCGGACGGTATATCAGGGGACGATGGGCACGGTTTGAAGTTGTGTCCTTCTACTAGGTAATAAAATTTTAATAATTTAAACAGTATAATTTGATTCCACTACTTTATTCTTATGTGTGGGTTTCGTTTCCCTAAATTTCTTCTCATATTTGTTGTTTTGAATTATGTTCTTGTTCATATTGTTTATGAGTTAGGTTTTAATTACTATTCACATATGCTTGCTTCTTTTGTGTTCTTCAATCTGAAATGAGTTTTTCCAAACACGATGAGGTTATGCCTATCACTGGTGACGGGTGAGTGCTACCTCCAGTGTTTCAATTTGACCAAATTTTTTATAAATTGTAGTTGTCGGTTTTCTTGTGATTTTTACAGTGTGGTAGAATTTTGATAATATACAGCCGGATTATCAAATGTTTATGGATAGCAGAAGTTAAATATCGGTTCTACACATTAGAGATATAAAGTTAAAAGTTCTATCAAGGGGGTGTTTAACAAATTGTTGTAGGCATGTTTTGGTGTCTCATATCTTCATATTTTTCACATTTTCAGGCAAGCACCATGTCATCAGATGCTTCTCACACGAGTTCAACCAATTGATATTACAGATCATCCTGTAGTCCGATGGAAGTCAGGCTATGTGATCATGGCGAGGAATGCGATGTGTTGACATCAATTACGAAAGAAAACCTGGCTTGAAGGTTCTTAAAATGTCATTGGTGGAAGGTAAAGTTTTGATAATACTTTGTGGACAAGTTATTTTATTTTGAGATATATTTTGTTATGGTGGTTCATTGACCTTTGTTGGTTGTTCGGATGAGTGTATTAAAATATATTATTTATTGGTAGATTATAGAAAATGATATGTTTTGGTAAAAAGAATTTACATGAAGTCTCGAATCCAAGTTATTTTGATTTACGACAGTTGAATGATGCTTTTGGAATGTTTGTTTGGATTAATCCTGATATGTCGCCGTTCCAAAGAAGTTGTTTTAACAAGCTTAAGGCTGAAAAGAACAGGTTGCATGAGCAAATAATGAGCAAAAATGTAATGGAGAATCAAATAGGCTGGAGTTAAAAGGTACTGAAATTAAATATTTGGAAGATGAAAATAATGAGTTGGTCAATAATTTGGAGATTGAAACAACAAAAAATGTTGAACTGCAGTTGAGACTTGATGATGTTGTCCGTGAAGTTCGAATTTTGGAGAAGAAGCTCACATATATGAAATCTACATTCTGGTGCATTGTTTGCTTTGTTTCACTCTATTGTTTTTAAGTAAGGTTGGATAGAATGAATTATGATGATTTCGTTGAATTATGGTCCACTTATGTTTTGTGTAATAACTTATATTTTGTAAAAGTGCTTTATACAATTGAACTAATGATGGCCTATTATGCATAACTGTATTGTGTTATCATCTTTTCCAATTTAAATTAATTACTTGCATTATTGGTATTTCGCCATGTAAAACTCCTATTCGAGCATCAATGCAGACTAAAAGGGTTGAATTGACCGTTAAACTGATATTTATGGTCAAAAGATATATATTTGATATGACGTGGTATGACAACTCATTGCAGATCTATAAGTAGGCTTAAGCTTTTCTGCAAAGCTGAGTTGATTGGATTAAAGGGCTACACGACCATTTTTACCATGTGTACATGTTGGGTAATATACACTATTCCAAAAATCGGCCTGGGGGACCGCCTAGGCGGCGCCTAGGTGCTAGGCGGTGCCTGGGCACCTCCGATTTGCACAAATCAACAGAAAAAATCGGTCAGACGACTAGACAGCGTCTAGGCGGGCCTAGGAGCTCCAATAAGGACTGGCGGTCTCGGCGGCCAGGCGGTTAGGCGGGCATAGGCGGACCTAGACGGGCTCGGCGGTAATTTTTCAATTTTAATTTTTTTTTTATTTTTTAAATACTAATTACATTATTTTATTATCGTGTTTTCTTTTAATTATATTAATATTATTATTTGGACTTAGGTATTTCGATTTATTATATGTTGAGATAATTTTATATTGTAGATAGTTAAAAAAAATAAAAAAAATACGGTAATTAATATTGATTTCTAGGCTCCGAATAGACGTTGTCTAGGCCCCACCTAGGCACTGCTGGTCGAGCGCCTAGCGACTTTTAGAACACTGGTAATATATTATACATC